AGGCCAGGGGCGAGGCAGTAGCTCACATATGTAATCCCAGCACTTTGGGAGGCCAAGGCAGGTGGATCACCTGAGGTCAGGAGTTCCAGACCAGCTTGACCAATATGATAAAACCCCGTCTCTAGTAAAAATACAAAAATTAGCCAAGCCTGGTGACATGTGTCTGTAATCCCAGCGACTTGGGAGGCTGAGACAGGAGAATCGCTTGAACTTGAGAGGTGGAGGTTGCAGTGAACTGAGATTGCACCATTGCACTCCAGCCTGAGCAACAAGAGCAAAACTCTGTCTCCTAAATAAATAAATAAATTAGATGGTTAAACTTGTTTAAAAGCAAAACAAAAAACTTCTACCACTCACTTCCCATTGCAAAAAATAAAGCCCAAGAGCCTTAATTTGACCATAATAATGTATCTTTCCATATGATTCTTCTTGCGTTCCCTCTTACTCTGTGCTTCCTCAACTGATCCCTCGCTGCTTCTATTTGCTTTAGTGGCTGCCTACACGTCTTCCCTAATTCTACTCATTTTTCAAGACCCAGTTGAAATGTCACATCCTTGCAAATCTTTCCCGAACTGCTCCCACTATTTCACACTAAGTGGAAGTAAGCATTCCCTTTTTGAACTCCAGCAGCACATGAACTATATCTTTTAGTGCTTTTTTTTTTTTTTTTTTTTTTTTTTTGAGACAGAGTCTCGCTCTGTCACCTAGGCCGGAGTGCAATGGCATGATCTCGGCTCATTGCAACCTCTGCCTCCCGGGTTCAAGTGATTCTCCTGCCTCAGCCTCCTGAGTAGCTGGGATTATAGGCACGTGCCACCACGCCCAGCTAATTTTTGTATTTTTAGTAGAGACGGGGTTTTATCATGTTGATCAGGCTGGTCTCGAACTCCTGACCTCGTGATCTGCCCATCTTGGCCTCCCAAAGTGCTGGGATTACAGGTGTGAGCCACTACGCCTGGCCAGCGCTGCTTTCCTTTTAGGCCAAAGGCACACAATGAGATAGAAAGGTGTGGCTTAAGAAGTCCAGCTGGCTGTCTAGACAGGTCCCGTTACACAGTGCTATAACCTTATGGAAATTACCATGATAGAAGAACTGACGTTTAACCTTGCAAACTCAGAAACCTAATTTTAATAGTAAGCACAAAGTTGAACCATTTCCTGGAGGTGGGGGGTGTCTTATATTTGCTAAGCTCACAGAAACTTTTATATAAAGAGGAATCTGATTAGTTACAATGAAAAATACAATTATCAAAAGAACTAGAATCCTCTAGGTGGCAGATCACTTAATTCTGTTCCTATCGCCAAGACACTTGCTGGGTGAACATAGAGGAAAGCATGATCTTTTTTTTTTTTTTTTTTTTTTTTGAGACGGAGTCTTGCTCTGTCGCCCAGGCTGCAGTGCAGTGGCACAATCTCGGCTCACTGCAACCTCCGCCTCCCGGGTTCACACCATTCGAGGAAAGCATGATCTTAAGACTCATTTCTTAGCTGAGGCAGTCTGAGATATTCCCATCCACTACAGAGATGACATGGACAAGGAAATCCTAATGTTCAGTGTGGTTTAACTGAGATGAGGCTTAGAGGGGCAATGGTAGTGCTAGCCTTTGTGACTGCCTTGTTTTGGACTGCCATGGCTGAGCAAGTCCTTTTGTTCACAGACTTTCTCCAAACAGGGTACAGAATGGCTGACAGGATTGACTAGGTTCCATTTATTAAATTACAATCATATCTGGCGTCTTCAGATTCCTCCCATACGCCCTTGATCAGAGTTTGTTTTTTTTTTTGTCATGTTTGTAAAAAAGGTCTTGGCTTGGGCGCGGTGGCTCAAGCCTGTAATCCCAGCACTTTGGGAGGCCGAGACAGGTGGATCACGAGGTCAGGAGATAGAGACCATCCTGGCGAACACAGTGAAACCCTGTCTCTACTAAAAAATACAAAAAACTAGCCGGGTGTGGTGGCGGGCGCCTGTAGTCCCAGCTACTCGGGAGGCTGAGGCGGGAGAATGGCGTAAACCCGGGAGGCAGAGCTTGCAGTGAGCTGAGATCCGGCCACTGCACTCCAGCCTCCGCGACAGAGCGAGACTCCATCTCAAAAAAAAAAAAAGTCTTGGCTTACCCCCATTGATAGCTAATTTCATGGCTGTATTAGTCTGCTTAGCTGGCATGTTATGTTGCAACAACAACAAAAACAATCTCAGTGGCTTACAAAAAAGGTTTATTTATTGTGCACACAACATTACAGGTTATGTGTGTCAGCTGTGGCTCCACACATCTTCACTCTGGGACCAAAGCTGAAGAGGTAATTCTATTTAGGACATGCTGCTCTTGTGTCAGAGGAAAGATAATATGGCAAAATCATAAGATAGCTCATAATTTCTGCTCAGAAGTGGTTCATGTCATTTCTTTCTTTTTTTGAGACAAAGTCTTGCTGTGTCGCCCAGGCTGGAGTGCAGTGGCGCGATCTTTGCTCACTGCAATATCCGACACCCGGGTTCAAGTGATTCTCCCGCCTCAGCCTCCCAAGTAGCTGGGATTGCAGGCACAAGCCACTATACCCGGCTAATTTTTTCATTTTTAGTAGCGACGGGGTTTCATCATCTTGGCCAGGCTGGTCTTGAACTCCTGACCTAGTAATCCACCCACCTTGGCCTCCCACCGTGCCTGGACGGTTCATGCCATTTCTACCAATATTTCATTGGTCAAAACAAGGCCAAGCTTGACGACATCAGGGTGAGAAGTCTTTCACCCTCATCTCCTAGGGACAGGCCAGATAGCAAGGGCTTTAGAAAGGGAAGGGCAGAGGCTATTGATAATACAGACTATAGCAAGGACTAATATTAGGCTTATATGTACCAGTTGACTGTTATCAGTTATAACATTGACTATTAAAATACTGAAATACTCTAGTACTATCTGGTAAATAGCTGCTGTCCCAAACCTCCGGACCACTCCCTTTCCCTGGGATCCCCTGGGACCTACTAGTCACAAACCAGCAACTGAAGGGTTAACACCTAGCACACAGGGGTACCTCCAGGACCTAGCTGCATTTCTAATTCTGCTTCCTCTATGCTTGAGCACTACTTGTTGTTAAATACATTTAATATCAATCTTAGCTAATTTCCTCTATGTAGATTTTTATTTCTGAGGGCAACCCAATTTCCAGGCGCTTGGAGGGAAATGGACTGCACTCCCTAAGTGTGGTCAATACTTAATTATAACAATAATCACAAATAATAACTTGCGCTGCTTCATTGTAACTAAATGTACATTTTTACATTTCTTTGGCAAGCATAGTATGTGCAATAATTACTCAATAAATATCTGTAGAGACTTACCTCACCTTTTTCCATTAGCTACATCTGTCTCTACAATCTCAACACACTATTTTCTTATTTGGAGTCTCCCTGTTTTTAATTTTATGCCATTTCTCATGTCTGAAAATGTCATTATAAGTAACTTTTTTTTTTCTGAGACAGGGCCTTGCACTGTCGCCCAGGCTAGAGTGCAGCGAGACGCTCACAGCTCTTATCAGTAACTTTACAACACTTCTGCAATTTAGGAAGCACTCTCACATTATTTCATTCACTCTCCCCAACATTACCAAGAGTGAGGAATTAGATCTTTTTATAGATGAAGGAATTGGGACTCCCTGAAGACAACTGTCTCATAGTTACATTTTGTTCATTCATTCATCAAATATTGAGTGCCTGATGTGAGATTTACTGAAATTAGATTTGAGAACAATTTTCCTGAATTCAAGTCAAGGGTTTATTCCACTATTCTCAATTACTTTATCACCAGGGTTATAAACCCAAAGAAACTGAGTAACAGTGTGATTTTGTTGAGGACCCATGTGCAACATTAGTCTCAGAAAGGCTCCAATGTCATTTGTAAAATTCAAGGTTACCATCAGCAGAGGCAGTCATTCCTCTCAGGGCTTGTTACCTAATGCACTAACTCTCATTGTAGGTAATTCCATTCAAGACACATTTGATGACTATATCTACAGGTTTTGAAGTTGTTCATATTGGGTTTCGACACTTATTAACTGTGGGGCCTTAGATCAATTACTTAAACCTTTTTGAGTTTCAGTTTTATCATTTGTAAAATGGATATAATCCTGATGCCTTTGGACCAAGTGGTCATGGAAATGAAGAGAGATAAGTATTTAAAAGTCCATGCTCATAGTAGCTGTGGTTTCCAACTGCGTGAAGTTTTAAAATCTGCATTCAAATGAGAACAACTATGTCGACGTAAAGTTACAAGCTAACTATTCTTGGTAAGTACTGTTCTTTATTCTGGAGAATATCACTTTACAGTTTGGTGTTAAATGCTCTTTTATAAATTTAAGGTGCCAGTAGCTGTCTACTTGAACGGCATGCTAAATTTGGCATGCCGCCGGGCGCAATGGCCCAAGCCTGTAATCCCAGCGCTTTGGAAGGCCGAGGCCGGCGGATCACGAGGTAAAGAGATCGAGACCATCCTGGCTAACACAGTGAAACCCCGTCTCTACTAAAAAAAAAAATAATAATAATAATAAAAATTAGCCGGGCATGGTGGCGGGCGCCTGTAGTCTCAGCTACTCGGGAGGCTGAGGCAGGAGAATGGCGTGAACTCGGGAGGCGGACCTTGCAGTGAGCCGAGATCACGCCACTGCACTCCAGCCTGGGCGACAGAGCAAGACACCATCTCAAAAAAAAAAAAAAAAAAAAAAAAATTTGGCATGCCATGTGGACCTTCATCCCCCCGTTTTCTCCCCAAATTAAAAACACGAATACGCACACACACCCCTCCTCAGTTCCTAAAGTTCAAGGGCACGCGCACACACCTACTTATCTTTTAACATTCAAGCTCGCACCAAAGACAGATCCACAAGGGTGGGAAGCGTGGTGGAGGTCACCTGGCAGCGCCTCCAGATCCCCGAAAGGGGGCGGGGTCAAAACTCTGAGATTTCGAGCTTCCGAAAGAGGGCGGTGTTAAAACTCCCAGCTCTCATTCCGCTTCACTCTGTCGTCGCCCCTTCCCAATTCTCGCGAGACCTCAAGCAGCACAGCTTCTGCGCGCTGCACGATACTGGGAGTCCAGGCGCCAGGGGAGGGGGAGGGGAAAAGGGGAGACGGTGCAAACGGCGTGGCCGCCATCTTGCTTGTGCCCCCGCTTCGCGCGCGCTCCGTTCTCCGTGACGCACGCTTCCCCCTCCCCTCCGCCGTGCCTGGGCCTCTGCATTGCCCGACTCCGAAGGAGCGCGGGGGCGGCTCCTACTCTTCCTGGACTCCTGAGCAGAGGCGTGTGAGTGTGCGGGAGGTTCTGTGCGAGGGTGATAGGGGAGCGGCGACGGGGGGAGGGGCAGCGCTTCCCGCCTTCGCCGGAGACCTCACTTCCTCGCGCGGCCGCTGCTGTAGCTCGGTCCGGCCTGCCCGCCGCCATGTTGTGGTCTTGCCTGGCTCGCCGCTGTCGCCGCCGCCGCGCTCGTGGGGTCCGTGTGCCTCGTCGGCCCGGCCCGCGGGCTTTCTCCCATTGGCGGAAGGCGACGGCGGGGGGGCTCGCTCGTGATTGGTCGGTGGCGGGGAGGCCGCGGACCTGGCACCTTATTGGTCGCGCCGGCTCCGGCCTAGGGGGTGATGAAGGAATCTGAGGCTGCGGGGATGCGCGCGTCTTGGGCTAGGGCAGCTGGGGCAGTGACCCTCTGCGGCGCAGGCGTGGGGTTGCGGCAGGAGGGCGAGCCTAGAGGCTTTAAGGGGAAAGAGAGGGTGATGGCCTGGCGGGTACTTTGGGGGTCGCTTAGGCCACGGCCTGGAATGGGGGACACTCACTTTCAGAGGTGCTTTTCCTGATACATGCATGGCGCAAGATGGGGTGTGCAGGCCCTCAGGGTTCCAGGCCTGGAAACACCGAAACCCAAGTGACAGGGTGAGAGGATCTGAGATCCTCTCGAAGGGATGCTAGTGTGACCTAGTTTGGAAGTGGCCCTGAAATCCACTGTGTGAGTGCATGGTGTAGGAAGAGAGGCATCAGGGCTAGGGGCATAGCTGAACGGTAGAATCAGATCAGGGATTTTGCTGGAGAGTGCAAGCATTTAAACACTGAGGTTTTGGTGGAGCCCTGGAGTCCAGAGTCAACGGACCTGGGATGTGATGTGAGGAGCAAGTAAACCGAGAGAGGGATCCTTTTGATAGGTGTGCTCTGTCCCAGCCTAGGAGGCACAGCATTAAGTAGTGTCAGATTTAAAGTGACTAAGTCTGATATAGGAAGGATTTTAGGGAATATTTTCGGACTGGGGAAGTGTATTAATAGAGCAGTTATAGATTTTGAGTCTCAGGACCATACAAGTAGTTTTGAGATATTGTATATGAAATTTGCTGCTCTGGGAAGGATACAGGTCATGGCCGAGTTTCCAAAGCTACGTTAGCAAATATTAGGTACTTGGTAGTTATTTGTTGAGTAAATATTGTTAGGTTCCCCTTTAAGGGAAAGGGAGCTAGCCAGAAATTTTGAGTCTTGATTTATTTCCTTGTATATGTGCCTAGGAAGTACACCCACTTCCATGTGTACTTTGATTTTTTTGTTTGTTTTTTCAAATAAACAGCTCCAAACCAAAAAAAGCCAGTGCATAGCTTCTTAAGGAACAGGACTTGTCAGCACTTTCTGGTTTATATTCAAAAAGTTTTTATTCCAATCCAGAGTCATTCCAGTCAACTTGTTGGGGATATGTTCCTTTTCTACTGAATCTGAATCATAGTTACTTGTATTGCTTTACATTTGCTCCTTCCAATGTGTGAGGGCCATGGAAACACATTTATGTTAAACCTCTGTGTTTTCCTAATTCGTTTTTCCTTGTTTTTGTTAGGTAGTCCTTTTTAGCTTTAGATGGTACTCTTCTGTTTTCATACCAATTTCAAGAAACTCCTATCGTTTTCAAATTTAGTTTTGTGTGAATGCAACTACATTTTCTGGAGAAGGGAATTGATAAGCAGAGGAAGAGAATTGCTATTTTGGGGCACATTTTAACACTAGTAGGTAGGCATTATCATCCCCATATTGTAGACGAGGAAACTGAGGATCAGAGAGGTTAAGTAGCTTGTCTATTGTGACTCAGTAAGTGGTTGAGCTGGAATTCAAACCCAGGTTGCCTCATGCCAGAGACTGTAATTTTATCGGCTACATCAGCTATCAACATAACCTGACTAATCAAACTCCCAGATAATTTTATATTTCCAAATGGATCATCTACTTTGATTTCTGGGTGTTTAGAGTGTATTAAATGGAAGACTATAATTCGTAAGAATTTGTTGTGCTGCTTCAAGATTCAGACCACAGAATTGTAACCATGTAGAATATGGGTTCTTCAGCTAGGTGTTCAAATCGTACTCCTTGGCTTCTATTGTGAAAGGGAAGATTTACAAAGTAAATTGCTGCATTTTTCCTGAATCCAGGTAGATAATGGGGAAGAATATGTACAGAAACTTGAAGAGTCTGCATTCCTTAAAACCAAGCTTCAGAATATTGCAGATAGTCTTCTGTGTATGGAGGTAATTTATGCCAAGCGGCAAGGAACTACCAAGTGCATAGTGTAAGGAGCTCACTGGAGAGGTTTTTCAAACATCACCAGTTCCTTAGGGTGTCCCCAGATACGAGGACCTATTCAAAGGCCTAGTACTTTCTTCAGACTGTGGGATATTGATTCTAGGATATGCTTATCCTGAAGAATGTGTAAAATTAAGACTGGATAGGACAAAATATTTGCAGTTCCAATTTTGCATGGAAACCTTTAAATCAGGGTTTGAGAGGAGACCAGTGAGTTGAAAATCTTAATTGCTTTATGTCTTGATGTGCGTAGGTGAAGCCCTCCCTCATCTTTATTTACAATAATATTTCACTGTGGAAGAGAGAGGCAAAGCTACAAGTGAAAATAGGGTTTGCCATGCATTTCGTACATTGGTCATTTCAGGCTCATTTGGCTCGGTCATCAAGTTAACCAAATATGAAGAATGCTGTAGATCTATGATTTAGTTTCTTTTTTACTAAGGCTAGACAAGGTGATAAAAATGAGCGTATATGTACACCTTTTTTATTCAGCAGGCTTTTCTGGAGCAACCTGCCCTTCAGCATTGGTGACCACCTTCATTCCATGTTAGCCCCTTACACCCGTGGCCACGTTGTTAAGATATGGAATTGACCACTCTAGAAATCTTGAACTCTCAGGAAATCTCAGTAGATCTGAGTTTATGTAGAAAACTTGTGAACCTCAGGTTTTTCTTCAAGCAGAAGTTAAGCTTTATGCTTTATAGGCTGTGTCTATGGAATCTTATTTAATTCTTATGACAAATTATTCTGTTATCTCATTTATACTTACACATTTTTTCTTTGGTCAAAACTACTAGAGACTGGGTGCAGTGGCTCATGCCTCTGATCCCAGCATTTTGAGAGGCTGAGGCAGGTGGTATTTGAGGTCACGAGTTTGAGACCAGTCTTGCACACGTGATGAAACAAAATTACAAAAATACAAAAAATAGCCTGGCATGGTGGTGGGCGCCCGTAATCCCAGCTACCCGGAAGACTGAGGCAGGAGAATTGCTGGAACCCGGGAGGCGGAGGTTGCACTGAGCTGAGATTGTGTCACTGCACTCCAGCCTGAGCAACAGAGCGAGACTCAGTCTCCCAAAAAATAAATTAAAATCCCAAACCGTACTAGAGAAGATTTTACAAGGCATTTTTATCCCCTTTTAGTTTCAGAGAAATGTAAGGCAAAGCGAAATGAGGATTCAGACCACAGAATTGTAACCATATATGGGCTCACCCCATTCTATGTTAGGGAGCTATGCTGAGAGTCTTGTTTTGGGTTTTGTTTTTTGGGAGTTTTACTCTGTCACCCAGGCTGGAGTGCAGTGGCGTGATCTTGGCTCACTGCAACCTCTGCCTCCTGGGTTCAAGCGATTCTCCTGCCTCAGCTTCCCGGGTAGCTGGGATTACAGGCATGCACCACAACACCCAGCTAATTTTTGTATTTTTAGTAGAGATGAGCTTTCACCATGTTAGCCAGGCTGGTCTTGAACTACCGACCTCACGTGATCCACCTGCCTTGGCCTCCCAAAGTGCTGGGTTTACAAGTGTGTGCCACCATGCCCAGCCAAGCTATGCTGGGTGTCTTTTTGAGGTAATTTTGAAATTTACATCTTTTAGTTCAAAGGTACTGAGCCACTAGGATCTATGAATCAAACGCAGGGATACTATAGTTACTACTTTTATTGAATGCTTACATTGTACCAGCTAGGATATAAATGTATTATGTATATCCTCATACACTATGAGGTAGATAATATAGTCACCCTCATTTTTACATGTGAGGAAACTGAAAAGTAATTTGCTTAAGGTCTCACAGCCAGTAAGTAACAGAGCCCAGATTCAGACACAGACACAGATTTGTAAATCTTTTTTTTTTTTTTTTTTTTTTTTTTTGAGACGGAGTCTCGCCCTGTTGCTCGGGCTGGAGTGCAATGGCGTGATCTTGGCTCACTGCAACCTCCGCCTCCTAGGTTCAGGTGATTCTCTTGCCCCAGCCTCCTGAGTAGCCGGGATTACAGATGCCTGCCACCATGCCTGGCTAATTTTTTGTATTTTTAGTAGAGATGGGGTTTCACTATGTTGGCCAGGCTGGTCTGGAACTCCTGACCTTGTGATCCGCCTACTTCGGCCTCCCAAAGTGCTGGGATTACAGGCATTAGCCACCGCGCCCCGCCACAGATTTGTAATTCTTAATTCTTATGTAAATGAAGCCCTTACTCTTAAACACTGTGTTGACAACATAGAATGTTATGGGAAAAGAAAAAAGTCCTGGCTTCTTAGCTCAGGAAGTGAACTTCAGTTCTTTCAGGTGTGTCCTTTGTACTGAGACTTCAAAAGAGTGAGATGACCTTGGCAGGGTCACTTGGCTATGCAAGGGCAGAGCCAAATCTTGCCCAGATCACTGGATTTCTAGATAGGTGCTCATTCCACTGGATAGTATTGACTCTCCTGTGGAAGCATTGACTTGATGGCAGAGATGACTTTAAGTGACAAGTTTACTTCATTCATGGGAATGAGAATGGCAGAGGACATTACTAGGGTCACAAATGACCTTCTTGAGGTCAATCCTGGCCCTCAGGCATACAACCAGGAAGAACATTCCTTTGCCAGTAAGTTGTTCTTTTCCATTCTGTTTCTTGTTCTCAGAGGAAACTGGTTGTGAGTTATCTGATGTCTTATAGTCTTTCTTTTCATTTTGTTTATTCAGTTTTTCATGCATGCACTGTCACAATTTAGGAAGGCTACAAGGTCATTTTAGTGTTTTCCTGCAGAGACTCAAAGCACTCAGCATAATTTAAGTAGATTAATTGCAGGAGGAAATGGATTTTTAAAACCGGCCAAAAAGTGCCTTTGGGAGGGGACAGTATTAGTTGCGGATTGGAGTCAGACCAAGGGAAGAAGTCTGTCTCTGCAATGCATTTACCCTGACTGTGCTGGGGCAGGTTCTTAACTTGTTTCTTCCTCTGTGAAGTAATGACA